GATCGGCTGGGTCAGGTCTGTAAAAAACGGATACCTCTGTTCCAGATTAGTAGACAGACGATCAATCCTTTCATTAATTCGAAAAATATCCATGGCGATTTAACCGGTTAAAAGGTGAAAAATGACTTATAAGTCGGGGGAAATTAATAAGGCTGTGAGCGAGTGAATAGACGAGAAAAGGTATTAGCCTGACGAATTCATTGAATCGTTGTCAGGCTCACGGTAAGGAGCGAAAAATTCTTCGGGACGGGGAGACAAGCTCAGGCTTATTGATTGCTGCCAGGGTAAATGCATGAGGTGATACCCGATAAACCCTGCTACCAACAGACAGCATAAACCTGTAGTAAAGTAGTAGAGAAAGATTAGTAAAGAGCCAAGAAAATCAACCAGTGATTTATAGGGTATAAAGGTTGAGCCGGGTAATAAATCAACTAAATCAGTACCACCGACTACGCCCCGTAACGGACTGCTTCCCGGTAGATAATGGGTTCGGCCAAAAGGTTCAGACATTACATCGGACGGCTGAGCAAACTCGTCGCCTAGCGGATTATGTAGAAAATGGCATACCGAAAGTCGGTAGGCATACTGGTTGGCTTTTTTGGGTTGTTGCCGAATGAGTGTTATCCCGTACAGTATAAGCCGGTTGAGATCGTCCTGGCTTAAGCGTTTAGCGACGTAGATAAAACTTTCTTTAGGCAAATCGAATAATCCCTTAAACTGATGGTTATCCTTTTTGGAGAGCTTAATGTGATTTGGAAAAATCGTTGCTGACACTAGATCAGACTCGGCAGTAAGGGTACTACCTGGGGGAGCATACAGATAGGAGCCAGCAGCCTTACCGTACCGAAATGGTTTATAGGCAAATGAATTAGCCGCATGGTGATCCGCTTCTGCAGGTGGATTTGACCTATAGCCCATGTAGCCTAGAAAACCCAGGGTTCCGGCGCAAAAAAGAAAAAGCAATGTTTTCATAAAGGTCTTTTAGACAGCACAATGCTGATTTATGAGGTGGTACGTTGACAACTGGGGTACGGGTAGACGGCAGTGCTTTAGTACGCAGCTGCTGGTAAATCATGTAGGTTTACCCCTGGGTAGCCAAAAACAAGGCAAGGATTCTTCACCACGTACCCAGACCTGAACCCCATCGCTCAGCCGTTCGACTACCGTAAGCGGCTTAAATTCAGGTTTATCATGTAATTCAAGGGCGTACCCCTGGTAATTAATAATCAGCTTGTGCCGAATTTTTCGGACCGTTTTAATGAGCATGACTGAAAGCACACCATCATACGTCTGGGGCCGTCGGTTGCGGCTTCGACTGATTGTGACCAGGAATTGTCCTGGACGAGGCTGCTCATCATCAGGATGGAGATAATAGGTTATCTTTTTGAGCGCTTCCATAACTAGCGAATTTTAACGACTGTATTCGGCCTACGGACCTATTGTCCGTTGGTGGCGCGAATGTGTTTAGGGCTGAGCCATCTTACTGGCAGATATCTTATCGAGCTGATCTAATTCGAATCGACCGAAATACACGTCTCCTCCTTCAGCAATCGTTGCAATTTGTTGGCCGTTCAGGCCCAGCGATCGACAGAAAGCAAGCGATTCATCACTATGGGTTTGAACCGACCAGTCGAGTACTTTTCCGCTCTCCAGAACGTATTCGACCGTGCGGGCTAAATGAAACATGCCAACGGCGTGTGAGGCTAACGATTTAGGGCAGTTCAACGAGAAATAAAGTCGAAAAGCTGCACTGTAGAGTACGTCGCCAGTAACTGTTGTATAATTCTTATGGGAATTGATCAGGCTAATCAGTCGCTTTACCTGAAAAACGCTACCCCCTGTTGAGCATATCTGAATAGATACCCGGTCTGGACTGACCCGGTTGAGCGGAACGCGATGGGCATAATCCGCTAGAAACTCATTGTATTTAGCTTCCAAGCCTTTATAGGTTTCCTCATCGATGGTCGCAATGCTAAAAAAGTAAACCTTCGAAGCCGGAGGTATTATAGGTTGGGATGAAGGTGTCGACTTGTATGACACCTCCGGAGCGAAGTAGCGGGTTTTCAGCCGATCGACTAAAAACTGACGATGGCGAGTAATAGCAACCGCTGGATTAGCCGTGTAGGATTGGTAATAATAAGGTCCATAAACCGTTTCGACGCGTGTACGGCAGGTCTGGCAGTAGGTTGTCATCTCGTTTACCGGTCGTTTACGCTCGACTAGCGACCGGCCAAAACACTCGGGGCATATCTTTACCTCACGGGTAGGTAATGAAGTAAGTAATTCAGAATCCGTTAATTTAAGCCGATCTAAATACTGATTTCGGGAATGTGTATTTAACTGATTATTGGAAACAATTTCATCCATGGGAACTTCGTCTGTTAAATGATCCCGATGGGTTATTTCCCCTGATAAATCGTAAATAGAATACTCATTTGCTTCAGATATAGGGCCTATACTAGGCTTATGAGACAAAGAAGAAATAATTTGGTTAGCCAAGAATTGAGAAGCAAAGTCTATAGAATCACCCCGATTCTGCTCATTGCTATCGGCCTCTATGCAGTCGTCAATGTTAATAAGTTCTGATTCGTAATTATCATGAATGGTATTCCCTGACAACACAGGAGACCCTATCTGATCGTCACTTGGTGGGACGGAATCCAACTCCGTAAGTATTCGGTTTAATTCAGGCGAAACCGAAACAATCCATTGGCAAAAAACCAGGTACGTGAAACGACTTAATGTATAATTGAATTGATGGGCCGGTATGGCGCGCTTGTTGTCGTTCTGAAAATAGATTTGAACGGTTGGTTTCGCTTTTGACATCATTAATCTCAGGTGATCAATAATTTCATTCTCGTTGTACTCCAGTTGGGTTAGATCAACCAGTAACTGCGCTACCTGGTAGCGTAGTAAGAAAGCGGATGCCGGATCATAAGCTGTTTGGCTTTCGACAGTTTTGCGTTTCGGCTTGAGAAAATTACCTACGGTCCAAACCGGGTACTTGACATCAATGAACGTAGTCGACGAGAGAAACAGCCCTTCAGTAATAAATAGATTTATAACTGTATCGGCCCTGTTTAACTGCTGTTCACTGAACTGCATAAACACATCAAATTTTTCCTGTAGAGAATCCATAGTCGTCGGATCTAGTGGTCAAACGACCCTGGTTAGAAAGTCAAGTGAATCCGGTAAAGCGTCTGAACAGCGCGTTTAGCGGGTGGGACAGGATGCTGCTTGGCACACACATGGACAATAAAATGCGCAATGCTTACCCCCCCGAGCAGGCAAAACAGAACGATGGCAACCAATCTAAAAAGCCAGACCCGGTAAGGCCGGTTTTGGGTAAGTGAGCTGGATTTCATTATATAGCTAGTTAAGTGGTAATACGGGCTGATATAGGCGTAGATAGGTTTGTTTCCAGCACCTGGAAGAGCCAGGCCAATCGATTATCCTGACGAGTCAGTAAATAGATCAGGCGGCTGCCCGATAGTAGGTGTATCGAGCAGGCACAGCTAAGGTGTACCGTGTGGCAGCGGTTGGTCACCCCCAAATGGATAAAAAGACCACCGACTTGATTGAGCTGACACAGGTGGCCAAACTCGTTGGCCCAGGTAGGGTTTTTGCGGAGGGAACCTTGGCAACAGGCAACCAGCATCCGTTCCCCATTAGTCCCTTTTAGGGCAATAACAGTGAAGGCTAATTTGTCAGTAGCTAGCTCAACCTGTAGATCGTCGGTAACCAAACGGCGAAAGCCAAGCTTGACAATTTCAACGAAAATAGGATAGTCTACCTGTTTTAAAAACCTCAGACGCCGGGCTTCCAGGTTAGGTTTAGCCAGGGTCAGGAAATCAGCGTAAGTCGCTGAGCTGGCAAATTGCAAACTCCTGGGGTTTTTGGTCAAATCGGGT